TGCTGCTGCAGGCTGGCACTCATAGCTTCCTCGATGGCGCTGATGTCCTTATTCAGCCGCACCACGAGAGTGTCATAATCCATACTTTCCACATTGGCGACTATAGCATAATTCCCTTGTTTAGCCAGCGGGATCAGATAATGGAAGCAATGAACTCTAGGCGACAGAAGGCAGAGACAAGGTAAGGTAAGATGTTAATATTAACCCACTGAGCTATTTATCCAACATCGTATGGATTTGGCTGGAAGAAATATTGAAGAAACCGTTTTAGCTTCCTGGATAAACCGAGCCATTGGCAGGAAAAGCTGTCTGTGGATAAGCTTTACCCTCGTTAAAAATGTGTTTGGGATGAGTTGAGGGCTGCTAAATACTGAAGCAATAGCTCTATATACTGAACCCCTCTTTGGTACAAGTCCCATTGAACCAATAGGTGGTGGGATTCCCATTGCTTCAGTGGGAGTGATGTAAACCCCTTAATAATCCACTGAGCAAGTGCGGCAACTGGACACGACAAACAAACCACCACCGTGACATGGTGGGGCCGTGCCAAGTCTCTGGTTTATTCAGTCCTCAATCTCTCAGCTTGGATTGCTAACAAGGCGATGAACTGCAGCGGCATTTTTCCTGGCTGAATATTCTTCTCTGGGACCAGAGAGCAACCTCCAAAACCAGAGGCGCAGCGATGTGGCCGAGTGCCCGGGGTGGCTGCCGTGCACAGAGGCAGGAGCGCTGTCTGGCTGCTACCACTGCTGCAATCACACGGCTGCAGCACCAGCCCAGTTTTTTCCCCATCCCCACCACCCAAGTTGGTGCCCAGGGCAGCTCCCTGAGTTGTCCCACCCCAGTTATCCCACCATCCAAAATGCATTTCATACAAATCACCAGGCAGGCACCAGCTGACGGTAACTTTCTCAAACTTCCCGACTTGTACTGGCTTTCAACTGGCAGCCAGGCAGAAAGACGAACACTTCGTCTCATTAGCGAGTCTCTAAAGGCATCCAAAGCCCTCAGTCCTTCAATAATTAACACTGCTTTTAGTGCCCTGGCTGATCCCAAATAGAATTGATTGGCAATATTTTGTTACCACCGTACAACAGGATTGAAACGGCTGCAAAATCAGCCTGGCTCCCCCCGCCTTCAAAACGCTGGCATGTTCATGCTGACCTTGACGTGACTTTGGCATTAAGGTTTTCTGAAAACACTGCTGATTGCACAGCGGGAGGGTTGATTTTTGTAAAGTGCATATTTAGGATGTTACCGTGATACATGGCTGCGACAGTACACAGCTAAGGTCTCCTGAAGGTAGAGCTTTTATTTAAAGTAACTGCCTGATCAAGGTGACATTTGAAGCTGGTCTTGTACGGTGCAACAACTTAGTATTTCCTCTTTAATAGGGGAAAAATAATAATAACGATCATGATAAATTGGCCGGTGATTTCTGCCTCAAACGTATCCACCTCTCAGCATGTCATTTTGCTCCCTTCAGGGATGAACAGAACGGGATCTTGGTGATCAAGTATGACCTATGCAGTTCAAGGTAAAAATGCCAAGTGCCTTTTATTCAGATTCTCCGCCCTAGCATGCGCAAGTCCAGCAAGTGCTTCACTGTAGGATCTTGGGGGAAAAAAACCCTCTCCATGTACCCTTAAGTCCTAGTAACATGTTAAAACAGGCAAAGTAGGAGCCAGGGGATATAAAGCAATAATTAGCTAGCCGTGGCAGCGCCTGCTCACAGATATTTAACATTACCACTATTTTTTTCTTTTTTACCCGTGAACAGTTCATGCAAAGCTCTATAAAGCAATATGCTCTTGCACTATTCCTGAGGTATCTTCTGGAGAAGTCCTAGACATTTATATTACCTCTTAGGGGGTCTACAGACTTTTAATTTAGTCCTAGAGAAATTACCCCAAAACCTAAATGGGGCACCAGGCTTCAGTGAAGTCCGCAGCAGAACCGGCTGGGAATTTAATATGGTTTCAGTTATTTTCCATGAGTATTTCTGAAACCGTTTGACAGGACGCTATAGCAGGGAAAATGAGATTGGATCCTGGCCCATGTTACGTTCCCTTTGCACTGCAGGAGCAAAGCGGTGCAGATATCCTAAGGAACGAGCCAAGACCTTCCCAACACTGGGAACCACCAAGTTAGCACAGGCCTGGCATACATGAAAGTGCTATAAGGGCAGGAGGCGGCACAGATTGGGGCGTCCTAGTCTCTTGTGATGCCCGCCAGCAAAATGTCTCATGAGGGGCTATGATGAGCATGTACAAGTTAGTGCAGCCCAAAGGCACCTCTAAACTGCACACAGAACTGGACTGGGCCCCCAAACGGTCCCTAAATGCAGCAGACAGCAGAGCGGATGTGGATGAACCTTGCTTGTGCTTATCCTCATGCACAAACCCTGCTCCTGAGCCATTAGCTACTAATTGTAGTAGACAAGAACATAAAAAGCACAGTTCTGTATCGAGCTCAGCGTCCCATCTCCGGCAGTGGCAGAAGAGAATGCTATAGAGGGAGAGTGTTGAACCAGGTATCTCTATAGAGTGATCCATGCCCTGTTCAATACCCTCCCTGGCACTTGCCATTATAGGTTTAGAGACGCCAGAGGAAACATCTCCAACCGTTCTGTTCAACAGCTGCTAATAGATCTATCATCCATGAATTTTCTGTTAATTCCTATAGGATAAGTCAGGTGTGATTATTAAATTTGAACAAGAAGAATGGCATTGTCATTAAGGAAAACAGCAGAGACTTGGATTTTTAGGCCACGTGGCCAAAAACATGACGTGGTAGTTAAGGCAAAGTATATAACTCTGCCTCGGCAGCCTCCCTCCGTGACACTGGGTTAATACTACTTCCCGACGTCCTAGGACTGATAGCGCTGAGTTAATGTTTATGAAAGAGCTTTAAGATTGTCTAACGGACAGAACCGAAGTTGTACGTGCCAGTAGGATTATTGTGAATATGGGTACTCATCTGCAAGTCTCAATGAGGTTCCTTTTAAATGAGCAGGTGAAAAATAAAAAAAAACGAAGGGACAATTTCTTCTTTCACGCACGCTGCTTGCTGAGTGGCACAGCATGACTTCAGGTTCAGGAGAGCCTTGTGTGCCTCTCGCATTGCTGCAGCCCAATACTGACCAAGCCCCAACAGGGCAAAACCATGAAGCAACTGGATGAGCTGGAGGAGAAGACCACGCAGAGGCTTTCTGCAATGCAAACCCCGGCTTTGCTGTTTGCTTGTGTCGCCCTGAACGGCACCTGCAACAGCAAGGGGCCCGACGCGTTCCCGTGCTCTCTGGCAACACGTGCTGAGGGCCTGTTTAAAGAACAGGTTTTTCTGAATGAAAACACGCCCCAACAATGGCAGAAATCCCGGGAGCTGGCACAGTCCTTTCTGGCAACCCTGCTATGGAAGAGATGCCGGAGGGACTAGCTTTGTGCCGCCTGGCGTGGCAGGTGGTTGGTGCACGCAGCACGATTAATAAGAGGGAAACTCCCAGAGAAAGATTTTACTGGTCATTAGCTCACCTTGGTTTCCTTTCCAGTCGCCTGCAATGAGCCTCTCACAATTGGCTTTTTTGCACTGACAGCATCAGATTGGGCCCGGATAATGGCCAGATCACTGAGGAAGGGGACAATCTCCTATCTGCTACCTCCCTCACCCTCACGTTACTTGCTGTTACTCACACCCCAGCTGTCCCGAAACTGCGGGCTAATGGCAGCCCGTTTGGGGCCTACAGCCTGATGTGTGCAGTGCTAGGGTTTGGCTGGGTGTTCCCACCCTCTCCTCCTAATGCCTCCAGGCCTGGTTTTTCTGGGTGCCCATAAGTGAAGTGAAGTATCCACTGAAACAGGGCGTGCAGGTGGAGGGGCTGCTGACACGTGTACGGTTTATTTCTTCTCTGAAAATGAGGAGCTGCACTAATCTACTGAGCATGGGATAAAGCTCAAAACGGGTCACATCAGGACAAGCTGCTGACCCATCAAATTGTGCAGCTGCCCTGGAGGAAGACAAGCAACCAGTGCCATGCACCCGGGAAAAACTGCTTCCCGAGGCTCCTCCTTCTGTGACAGCGGATGGCCTTCACTCTTGGCCCTTGTAGCCCCATATATATCTACAAAACGAGCTAGATGGTGCCCCCACCTTCCTCCCCTTTTCAGCAGCCGATGGTGTGATTTCCCAGACCGCCCTCCAAGGCACAATGAGGGATACACATTAAAAAGATGTCAGATGCAAGACCGTTCTTTTTGTGCTGCTTTGTTCTTTTGTCTGGGAAAGGCCCCTCTCCCCCCACCAAAAAAGTTTTCCCAATGCACAAATTGTTAGAAAAAAAGAACGGTTTTCCCCTCAAGCTTTCCCACCGCTCTGACGTGTTGGGCTCCCGCAGTGTTTCCCTGCATCCTGCTGAACACCCAGCCTCAAACCTCAGGGCTGAGATGCGACCAGGAATGGGGCAGCCTCTGCACACCCATCCCGTCTCTTCTTCTAGGGCTTTGCTAGAGGGCCTGGTGCCAGACTGGATTGAAGGCCCGTTTCCTCCCTGCAGGTCTCGCCTCCTCTCTGCTCTTCTTTCATTCAAGCTCTCTGCAAATTCCTCCCAAACTGGATTGCTTGCAGGCTACATTAACTCCTATCCTCACTGAGGTGGTTTGACCTGATGTGGCCGTGTAATAGCAGCGTTTTCCTCGCTGTGGCTCGTAGAACCTATGGGACGGTGTGCAAGATGATACCACTGAACACACCCATAGGTGCACATGTGCATGCACGTGCACACATGAACCCTTTTAAATTCCCAGAGCCCGATGTCCGTCACGATCCCTTATCTCCCAATGAACTGTCAGGCAGTTTCTGGAAGAAGCGCATCTAATTACTGGAGCTTTACAACGGTCTTAACCACACGCATTGATGTAGACACCCCAAATGCAGAGGCATTATACAGTACCTGACTTCCAAATGGAGGACCAGCAGACAGCGGTCAGCCATCTCTTGGAAGGACTTGGCCAGTTCACTGAGGGTCTGCATGATCTGCTCAGATGCTGGTGGGAGCTCCATGCTTGCATGGCTGTCCTGACCTGGCGACAGTGCTAAGACGACACAAAGTACACATTAGTGGTGGGGAATATGGCTGCGCTTTAGCAACCATGTAATTTTGTCTACTTCCCCCCGTGCAGCCGCATAGGTTTAGCTAAGCTCTGATGTCTATAACGCTGGAGCATATGAAGCAACAAACTGCTTCTGCAATCAATTAAACTCCAAAGCAAAGCTGAGGGATTTAATCAACCACCAAGATCATTTGTGCATGAGGATATTGCTGCGGAGCTGACATTTCTATAACCACAAGGCAAGGGGAAACTTATAAACCACCCCCTGCACAGTGCAAAAAGGGGAAGCATGGTTTCCTGTGGTTGAAGCACAGCTCCTAAACTACTAGGTGACACCACAATTAGCCCCAGTGCCGCCGTGTTTGCACCAGACTTAACAAATAGTCCAGAACAAGTCCTTTAACAACCCTCTCCACTCCCTGACCCTAACGTGGGGCTGTTGATGCCCCTGGCCCTGCAAAGCTGCTGTGGGAATTAGTTCAAGTTTGTTCAATGCCTTGAAAACACTAACGTAGCAGCGGGCAAGGTTCGGCAGCGGCGGCTGGATCAGTCTAGATCAGGCAGGTGCTTCTAACATAGCTGCTGCCACTTCTCCTTGCCGCTCACCTGCAGCATGAATGAAGCCCCAGATTGCTGCCCGCCCCGTGACCGCATGGCTGTGGCCCAGATCCAAAGGCTCCCCAGACTAGATCTAGCACACATGTTGCTAACTCCTGCCCGAATACATCGAATATTAAAGAATTTTTTTTTGGAAAAATCTTATTGGTCTAATAAAAGATATCGTCTCTACTGCAAGTCCTGATGGTCAAATATTAACTAACACTTTTCCAGGCAGCTCTACCCTTCATTGGCAAGCGACTTTTCTGAGCAGGCAGCAACTCTGGAGATGGGGCTGCGATCGACTCGAACCTTTCAGCCACTCTCCAAATGACTCACTGCTGAATCTTGGCACTTTACAAACAAGAAAAAAAAGAGATCCTCACACCCCGCCGCTGCGGTGAGGACTCCTTGTGGTCTGGTTGCCCCAAAGGGGCAGCAGGTACAGAGGAGCTACCTGACTTCTCCAAGACCATGCAGGAAAGCCTGCAACAGGGTAAAAACAGAGGTCCCAAGCATCCCTGTCATCATCTTTTCTTTCTTCCTAGGCCATGCCACCTTTCGCAGTAGTGTCAATTAGTATGCTAATTTGAATGCTGGTAAAACACACCTTCATACCAGCAAGGTCTGTACCTGGGACCTTCAGTGCTGCAACACAGACTATTGCTACTTGAGCCAAAGAAGTGGCTTTGCTAGCAAGTGCGCTGGCAGGCTATTATCATGCGCTCTGCCTGACTCAGAGAAAGCTCATCCCCAATATCTGTCTTCCAGGCCCTGGTTAGGACTCGAACGACTCTCTGAATATGTCGCCAGTTGGGGTACAGTGGTACAACAATCGAGACATCTTGATATGGATTTCAAGGCGTGAGAATTCAAGACTTGAGCAAGACTCGCTGTGACAGTTGCCACCCTTCCTCCCTCCCCAACCCTCAGTCCGACTGTAAATTAATATTTGGGTTGGACAGACGTGATGCCAGTTTTACTGTTGGCCACAGAAACTAACATGCCTTAACCATGCTAGCCCAATGGGCCACCTAGGCCAGGGGAAGACTTTTGGTCTAAACGGGCCATTAGCAATAACTGATCTTTGGATCAGCAGCATCAGAGGTCAGGCATCGCCCACTTGAGCTCGTGGAGTGGCTTGATCTGGTGGCAGCAATAGAAAGCTCTTGCTCTCCAATGGACTTGCCTCTAACAATACACACACAGCAAATGCTGTACCCCCGACACCTCCCAGATTACTGTTTCCACAGGCTTATAGAGGAAAACCTCCATCTTGGATGGGGACCAGTGAAAGGAAAGGCTTCATGAGGTTCAACAAGGACAAGTTCAAAGTCTTGCACTTAGGGTGGAGCAATCCCATGCACTGTGGGGTGACAGGCTGGGCAGCAGCTCTGCAGAAAAGGACCTGGGGGTGACAGGGGGCAAGAAGCTGAATATGAGCCAGCGGCGTGCCCTTGTGCCAAGAAGGCTACTGGCATCCTGGGCTGCATTGGTAGGAGCGTTGCCAGCAGATCAAGGGCAGTGATTCTTCCCCCCTATTCAGCACTGGTGAGGCCACATCTGGAGTACGGTGTCCAATTTTGGTCCCCCCAGACCTGAACAACAAATCCTGCACAAGAAAGGATGTGGAGAAATTGGAGAGAGCCCAGCGGAGGGTGAAAATGGTTAGCGGTGTGGGGCACAAGACTTATGAGGAGAGGCTGAGGGAACTGGATTTCTTTAGTCTGCAGAAGAGACGACTGAGGGGGGACTGAATAGCCGCCTTCACCTCCCTGCAGGGGGGCTGCGAAGAGGATGGAGCTGGACTGGTCTCCGTGGTGGCAGATAACATAAAAAAGAGCAATGGTCTTAAGTTGCAGCAAGAGAAGTTTGGGTTGGATATTAGGAAAACTTTTTCGTCAGGAGTGTAGTAAAGCACTGGAAAAGGTTTTTCGGAGAGAGGTGGTGATATCTCCATCCTTGAAAGCTTTTAAGACCCAGCTAGAAAAAGCCTTGGCTGGGATGATGTAGCTGGGGCTGGTCCTGCTTGGAGCAGGGGGTCAGACTAGATGTGACCTCCTGAGGTCCCTTCAACCCTCCTTTTCTATGAGTCTATGAAAGCCTCTTATTGCCGTCTGAAATATGTTACACACAAGAGGAACCCTCACTGGTTTTTGGCCTTCTCCATGAGATTAAAAGCACTCGTGAGACCTATTTTTTAAAGAAAAGATAGGAAAGGACAATAAAGCCCCTAAACTGTCAACCATGCCTCGACAGCAAAACGAAACATCAGAGTAGACTGAGATAAATGCAAAAGACAGAGCCATAAGGCGAGAAGAACAGCATGCTGGGAAAGACGGCAGAAGGAAAACCACCTAATCGTGCCTATAATTTTACTGTAAATTACCGAAGAAAAATGCATGCTGAGTAAAAGGGCATAAAACCGAGACTTCTCCAAGCGAACTGGTTTATGAACTCCTCCAAGCTCATTGAAATTTATGAAGTTTGTTAACGAGGAGATAGTGAGGAGAGTAAAGAAACTCTGGAGCCGGGGAAGCACAAGTGGAAATAATTAGCCAGCTCCTAAATGTCAAAGGGAAATGCAAGGAAGACATCCTGAGAACCTGCCCGGGAGGGCAGACACGGCTGGGATCTGTGCGCACGCCACCTCGGGACATCGTTCTGCCGGCGATATCCAGCCTATTTACACATGCAGCTCAAGGTCCTGTTGGAGGTATTCCTCCCACCAGGGAAAACCAATGAACTGGGGGGTTGGCTTCATTTAAAAAGCGCCTCTTTCAATATACATACAGTAATGGCGGATGCTAAGAAGGCGCTTTTGGGAAAGTAAGTAAATATTTGCCCGTTTAAAGCCCCGCTCACGTCATTCATCTTGATGAAGGTGCAGGGCTCAGTAGATGGGGCAGGATCAGGCCTGAGGTTATTTATATGGTCTCAGTTTGAGTCGGGAAATCATCTCCCTGTTGCTGCTGAAAGGGGAAAAGTCCATTTCTCATGCTGCTGATGACACAAATGCTCTGTAAACCACGTGCAGAAGATCCCTGGATCCACCTGCTCCCAGCGCCGGGCTGGGCCATTAGCACTGGAAGAATCATTTTCTTTAACAAGCTCAAGGTGATGCTGGGGCAGCTGCCCTCAGAAACCAGGATGGCTTGTTGCCGCTTGCACTAGCAGTGTCTCGTTAGAGGCTCAGGAGATGGATGGACATGTCATCTGAAACGCAAGACTCAGCTAATTTCCCTTGCAGTGGCAAGATATATATATATTTTGCTCAGCTTTCAGCAATTCATTTACAGGGATTTTTGTAAAGACATAATCACATTTGTTGGTAAGGGGAAGAGGAGGAGGAAAATGGGACAATCTGCTCTTTATTTAAATCAAAGGCGGAAAAGTCAATTTGGGTGGCTCATTACGCCAGGAGGGAGAAGGAAGGCTAAGTTGGCAGCTGCTGTTTCTCAGGGACCATAGACTGATTCCTCTCATTTAGCATTGAGATATGAACAGCTGGGAGGTTTGGGTTTTGGAGCAGGACAGTCTATTGGAAAATGACCTCTTTTTTTTTTTTTTTTAATACAAGGAACAGAAAGTATTTGTATCCGATGAACAATTGAATGTGACGCAGGCTGACACATCCTACATTAACAGTGGGATGATAACTATGGCAAAGTTCAGAAAGTGGGCACTAGAAAGATCAAGTGGCCTGCCTGGGGTCACACAGTCAGATTGCGACAGAATAAGAGAGCAAACGATGAGCTCCCAAGAACCAGGCTGCTGCCTCTCTCATTAGACCATTCCCCCTTCCCGAATCAAGGGCCCAGCAGCCTGATCTGGTATGTCGGTCCCTGCCTTCCCTCAGAAGAGGATCTCTAGTTGCCCTATTTTCCAATTTCTCCATCAATAAGGTGCCAATGCAACCTTCCTCCTCTGTTGCCCTGCTCCATACCCGTGTGCTTCTGTCAGAAGGGGATCTCTAGTTGCCCTGTTCTGCAATTTCCCCATCAGTAAAATGTCAATGCAATCCTGACATCTTAAGATGTCAATGCAACCTTTTTCCTCTTCCATTGCCCTGTTCCATACCTGCGGGCCATCTCCAAGAAGATCCCTTGTTCTCACTGGGCTTCCTTATGGCTTTATTAATTCTCAGCCAGGGTGGACGTGGAGAGCAGCTTATGTACAAGATACTCAAGGTCTGAAAGATCATTAGGAGGATCTTTCAGATAACCGATTTGTTCCAGGAGAAGGAGCCAGGGTGACGAGCTTGGAAGCACGTTGGAAATGGCACTCATGGCAATTGCCCCCAGCGCTGCATGGCAGGGGTGGTGTGTGTAGTCTACCATAGGCCTCTTGCCTGAAATGCAGGAGGAGACACGCTGGGCTGGGAACAGCCAGAAGAGGAGGTTATCAAACCAGAAGAACAAGCAGGCATCTCTTCCTTCTGCTTTCCGGTGTCATCCACCAGGAACCTGGGCCAGATGGCCAGTCTCCATCTTCAGCAAGGAGACATGCTGTGCAATGAAAGCACCTAGGATTTTTATGTACTGCCCAGTGGTCTGCTTGGCAAGCAGTAGGGCCCAGACCCTCAAGTGTATTTAGGCACCTAAATCCCACTGAAATTCAGAGGAGCCCAGCTCCTAAACACCCTTGGGATCCTGGCCTCAATAACTGAATTTTGTCGGTCTAGACCGGGCTTGGGGCTTTGCGAGCTACAGTACAATAGGATTTCTCTCAGTCGGCTGCAGATGCAGCCAAAAGAGTTTGCAAGGAGAAGAAATGTTTCCTTCCAGCAAACTTAAAGAAAAAAATAAATCCAATGTGCTAGTTGTCACCAATGATTTCAATCATTCTGTAATTTGAAGCAACGCTGGTGCCTCTTGAAAGACTGTGCCTTGTAAATCGATGGATGTAAATTGCCAGACCTCGGGAATATTAAACAAAACCCGCAGCGCTCCTCATAAACAAGCCGATGTAACCAATCAAGGCCTACAAAGCGAGCATGGCTGCCCACTTCCTGCTCGAACAGAACAACTACTAACAGATCTGAATGATTTAATAGACTGAGGAGAAAATCAATTTTCAGATTACAGGCTCTGCCTTGGCAATGGTGCAATGTAAACCTGTGAAGTGCGTGCGAGATATATGGGTAATGTTTCTCTTTGCATTTTTAGAGGGGGAAAAAGAAAAGAAGCCGTTTTATAGCGCTGGTGTTCAGAAAGAAAACTCAGGTGTGCATCCCAGCTGTTGTCGAGAGTGCAGCGGGGATGTAGGTCATTGGGTCTTGATCCCAGAGCAGTGATTTTCAACCAGCACCCTGGGGTGCCATGATTGCCTTTGTAGGATGCCCCAGGGAGAGAGAAAAGTGAGGTGGTAAGTGCAGGTTCTCCCCTTCCAGCTCCTTCTCCTCCCCTCAACGCCCTGCAAGGAACGATTTTTTTCCCAGCTGGCTTTTCCTCCTCCTTCCCAGCACCATAATGCATCAGCTAGGTTTTGAAACAGGGTGCTGCTCAATTCACAGAAGATATGGAGGGGTACCTTGAGTGTAAAAAGGCAGAGAACCACTGCTCTGGAGGCTCACCCAGGTGATCAGCAACAGAAAAGGCCAGGGAAGCAAAGGTCCTAAGAAGAATTAGGGCACCGGGAGCCGGTGGGTCAGGAGGCGGAGGTCTGCAGAGGAACCGGGAGGTAAGTGGTCTACCTGCGGAGAAGCACAAAGGGAAGGCACAACCCAGGAGGGCAGAGACCCAGACTGGAATCACAGGCCAGGGGTATTGCAGCTTGTAGCCATAGCTGTGTGTGTCCAGGACATCATGTAGTAGGCTTGCCAGCTTGAGGAGCCTAGGGGCAGTCTGCCAGCTGTAGGGGCTTGGGAGCAGCCTGCAGGCTGGTAAGGATTGCAGTCCAGCTGCAGGCAGTGAAAGCTGATTACAGGCTGCCTAGGAGGACTGGGCCAACTGATCCAGATGATGAGATGGCACACAGAAAATTAAGAGGGCTCCTGGGGACAGGAGCCATGCACGGAGCTGGTGGGTCGGCACAGCAGTGCCCGAAGACCCTGCCTGGAGCGCCTTTCTCCTCGGAGTCTGCAAGAGACTGAGCGCATCAGAGATGATGTACATGGTTAGAGCAAACTGAGTGGTCTCGTGTGGGTAGTTTGCACTGTGCAGAGGGCTTAGGTTGACCGACTCCTGCTGGGAAGGAGCTTGCTGCAGGGAAGTGCAGACAAACAGAGTCTGTAAAAGGACACTGAAGGACTATGAGTGAGCTAGTCACCCCGAGCCCGCTACACATGGGCAATCACTGAGTTAAGCCAGGAGCTGTTGCCAGAGGGGTCCGGAGCAGTCTGGAGCACCAGGGAGCCAAGGAGCCGGGCCAAGCAGGCTGCAGCCAAAGCGGTAAAAGCTGAAGTCTGGAAAAAGGAGTCAGTAGGCTGGGACCAGAAGCCAGGATGAAAGCAGGAAGCCAACAAGCAGCCCCCAGGCAACAGGAAACCAGGAACAGAGCAGCAGAGCCAAATCCGAGGCAGGAACTAAGAGATGAAGTGCAGGGAGTGAGCAGCCCCAGCCTAGCCAGAGGCATCTGTCTGGCTGAGTAGCCTGTTGGGCACAGAAAGAGCCACTGCTTATAAGGAGGCAACTATTCAATGCAGGCATCTGGGGCCAGGCCCACTCCATACCCAGCTGGGCGCAACGTAGCTTGCTTGCTACCCTGGCTCCTGACAGACAGGGCCAGCAAGGAACACTATGAACAGCTTTCATTTATTACTAAGTTTGCTCAGTGAGAAATGACAACAGCAAATAGGTGTAAAGTCCGTCTTGAGCTGAACTAGTGTGAACAGGGCACACCAGTTTCTGTGGCCACCAGCACACAAGGGTGGGATGTGATCAACATCATATCCAGCCACCTTGGACTTCCCAACCCAAATGACCAGGTGCCCACTTACAGGTGGGTCAACTGGGGGTGGCCTCTGGCATGGGTCTGAGGTGGACACGAGTCTAGAACTGGCATTTTTAGAGCCATCTTAACCTCTCTTCATCGGGCCCACAGGTGCAGCGTACTAACTAGAAATACATGAATAAGGACAGTCCTGTTAATATGGCACTACATTAGCCATCAGGAGATGTAGGGCCAACTTTGCCTCTGCAACAGACAGTTTGCATGCTCTTGGTCAAATCATCCAGTCTCCCTGTGCTTTCATTTCCCATCGATAATATTTTCTTTGCAATTTGGGTGGCAAACTTGGAGTCAGGAGCGGCTGCACACAGCACAGCATATCACACTATGGGAGTCCTGACCTCACTAGGAGCCTCCAGGCATCTCCATAATAGCCAATAAAGGAGAAGAAGAAGAAATCAGTCCTTAAAAGAAAAGGCTCTGTAAAGAGTGGGCAGGAAACAAGCAGACTTGTCAATGTTTGTTTTTACAAGCAAGCTCAAAAACGCACAATGTGGAAACATCAGTTCCTACGTCAACGATTTGTTCCAAGCAGATTTCTAAAGGAGGTGGCAAATGTCTGGAGATCCCCATATTTTAGGGGCAATGAGAGGATCTCATTTGAGATCATCACAATTAGGAACAAGCGCTTAAAGAACAGCCTTAGATCTCTGTACGCTTTGCCAATCTCAGCTTAGAATTAGGAACAGGAAAGAAGTTGCCCTGGTGTAGCTGGGAGATGGATGTTTCCTGGGGAGACACAAGGATCAGACACCCATGCTGATCGATGGCCCTGGATGCATCCGATGCATTTGTTACTGCAGTGGGAGTGGACAGGCCTGCTCTTGGGTGGCTCTGCTTTCTCCTTGCTCTAAATGCCCGAGCGCAGTGATCACCACCCAGTCGATCCTGATTGAGTAGTTGATCATGGAGCCTCTGACAGTTGATCTCAGCCAGCCTAAAATCGACTGTCAGAGGCTCCACGATCGGGAGCAGTGGGATGAATGTGTAGGGGGACAAACTGGGGGAACACGTGCCCCCCAGGCCTCCACTGGGGTGCATGCAGCGGCAGGAGCCCTCCAGCATGCCTAGATGAGTCGCCCAGGCTCCAACCCTCCCCCAGCCCGGCTGAGGCCCCACTCACCTGGTGGCAGGGGCCACAGTGGTATAGGTGGCAGAAGGGGGGGCTAATGGGGCTTAGCCCCCACGCACGTGGGGCAGCAGTAGGGCCACAAGGCAGCCCGGCCGCGGGCTTGCAGCGACTGCGGCAGGGGTGGGGAGGGGCAGGTGCTGCACAGCCACGGTGGGCACAGAATGGAGCCATGA